GTGAGCACCAAGACCATCGCAGGGGTTTACAACCCGCCTTACAGTGACGTGCTGCCGTCGGCCTTCGACAGGCCCATCGAGCAGCACTTGCGCGACTGCTGCACGGTGCAGGTGCCGAGGTGCATCTTTTCATCGTTTTCGTCGTCTCGCCGTCGTCCTCCCCCTCCTCCCCCTCCTCCCCCTCCTCCTCCTCCTCCTTTTCCTCCTCCTCCTCCTCCTCCTCCTCCTCCTCCTCCTCTTCTTCCTTCTCGAAGAGTACATAAGGGTATAGCGGCGTCGACGGCGGCAGGCTCCCGTCGGTGTTTTTTATCGTTCCCGTCGTCGTTCTCGTCGAGAACCGATGGCCGACGATCGAGGTCGTGTGTCGTGCGTAGTCTTTCTTGGGTCCCGGGTGCGCCTTCGCCGCCACGGCTTGGTCTGTCTCGAAGTCATGGTCAGTAAGATCGCGCCCCAGGACAGGCCCAGGGGGAGATGTTTGAAGAGGAGTTCGGGGATGAGAGGATGGGCTTTGAGCCCTCGCCCTCGTCCTCCTCATCGTCCTCCGTCTTTGGGGCTCTTGAGTAGGTTTGACGCCAGGATGCTCGGACAGACTAGAGTGTCTGGCCCGCATCGCACATACAACCCCGTAATTATGTGATGTGCAACCCTTTTCTGGTCTAGCCACGGTTCTTGCTGCGGGGGAACGAGATGGAGGACCAGGACGATAATCATGATGATTATGTTGTTGATGTTGATGCTGATGCTGATGATGAGGAGGAGGAGGATTCGGATGATGATGTTGAGGATGCTGATGATGCTGATGCTGATAAGAACGATGGTGTTGATGCTGTTTATGGTGATGGTGATGATGATGCTGATGGTGATGTTGATGACTATGCTGATGATGATGATTCCGCTGACGATGATGGTGGTTATGATTGTGTCGATGGTGGTGGTGATGACGATGATTTGTGCTGATGATTACGCTGCTGATGATGATGATGTTGATGATGCTGGTGATGACGGCGATGTTGATGATGATGATGTCGACAATGATGAGGAGGGTGTTGATGATGTTGGTGATGATCATGATGCTGATGCTGCTGATGATGATGATGATGAGGCTGATGATGATGATGATGATGATGATGATGATGATGATGATGATGATGATGATGGTGGTGATGACGATTCTGACGATGACGGTGGCGACGGCGATGACGGCAACGACGACAATGATGACGATGACGATGATGATGAGGAGGAGGAGGAAGGTTGTAAGGATGATGACGAGGATGTTGATAATGATGATGATGATGATGATGATGTTGATGATGATAATGATTGTGATGCTGATGATGATAACGACGATGATCATGATGACTACGATAGTGATGATGAATATGCTGATTATGATGATGAGGATGATGATGCTGATGATGCTGTTGATGATGGTGATCCTGATGATGATGCTGATTAGGATGATGACGAGAATGCTGATGCTACTGATGGTACTGATGAGAAAGAGGAGGAGGAGGAACATGTAGACGATGAGAAATTGGGAGAGGGACGGGGATGATGAAGAGGACGAGGAGGAGGAGGGGGAGGAGCATGAGGAGGAGGAGGAGGTGTAGAAAAAGCAGAGGAGCAGGAAAATGAGGCGGAGGAGGAGGAGGATAATCAATCGAAGGAGGGGGATGAGGGGCGGAGGATGTCCTGCTCCGTGTCGGCAAACGCCGGTCCCTCAGTCTGTGTGTTGGTTGCGCCGACCCCCTCGGCAAAATCTTCTCCTCTCCATCATCCTCCCTCCCTCCCTCATTCGGCGAAACCTTTCCTCATCCTCCCCCTCCCCCCTTCCACAGTTACAACTTTCGAATGCTATTCTCCCCTCTTCTCTGACTACGTGCGAGAAGTATCCCGCCCTTGGTGCGTTCTGTTTTCACACAGGATTTCAAAAGTTGCCATTTCTCACGGTGCGTTGAGCACCCCGTTTGGTGTCGGAGTTTCAAAATGGTGTTCCCCTTGCAGTGTTGGCCTCATTTTTAGATGGTGCTTCGCTCCCGTCGTTCAAAATGGCGCACTCGCCCCAGCGCGGGGCACTTCTCTGGATCCGAGTCCTTTCTCATCGTTGTCGCCATCCTCCGTTCCCCTCCTCTGCAATCCCCTTGTCCTCTTGCTCCTCCCCTTTCCTTCCACTCCCACATTCTGCTCCTTCCACTCCCACATTGCTGCTGTTCGTCCTCGTCCTCCTCCTTTTATCATCCTTCCAGCTTCCTCCTGCTCATCCTCCTGCTCATCCGCCCCTCCTCGTCGGTCTTCTGCTCCTCCTCTTCCTCGTCCTCCTCCTTCTCCTCTGCCGCTTCCTCCTCCCCCTCCCGTGAACGCAGCCCCCATATTCCGATGACACAAATTACGATGGAGACATTCTGGGAGTTTCAGGTCCGCTATGACATGCGTCTGCGGATAGAGAAAAAACAGCGCACTGGTAAGGGGAGGGGTCGGACGTCAGGTATGGCGCGAGCGCACCTAGATTGACATCCACGCCCTCTCCCTTCCTCATCATCATCTCCCTCCCCCTTTCACTCGTCACCCTCCTCCCCCCCTCACCCTCCTCCCCCCCTCACCCTCCTCCCCCCCTCACCCTCCTCCCCCGCGTCTGCTCCTCTGCTTCCTGCTCCTCTCCCTCCGCCTGCCCCTCCTCTTACTCACCCCGCCTGCCCCTCCTCTTCCTCACCCCTCTTGCCCCCCTTCCCATCCTTCTTCCTTCCTCCTCCTCCTCCTCCTCCTCCTCCTCCTCCTCCTCCTCTGTGCTCTCCCCCTTTTCCGATCCTCGCTCCTCCCTTTCATCCCACCTTCCTGCTCTCGCCCTCTCCTCAGCCTCCCCCTCTTGTTGCATCCCCCCCTCCCGCTTGATCCCTGCGTCTCTCCCCCTTTCCATCTCCCCTGTCGTGCGTCTGCCCCCCTCGTCCCTCCACCCATCCCCTTCCTCCCAACCCTACCTCCCCCTCGCCGCTCCCTTCGCTCCCCCCCCGTGCATCTCTCCCGCCCGCCTCATCCTAGCTGGGGCTATTACCCATGCCAGCGGGGCCCTGCGAGGGAGCGCGCCAGAGCCTTCGCGGCAGATCCGATCTCTGTGGGTGTTCTGACGGGGAGCCGTTCTCTTCCAGCGGCGGGGCGCCCGAAGCCCGCCAATGTTTGACCAGTGCGAACTTGGCGTTCCATCCTTCGCAGGTCTAGCGGCTCAACTCCTTGTTCTCTACCAACTTGCTAAGCTTATAGCGTGCCAGATTACGACAGCCTTGCAGTCATGAGATCCGATGTTCAATTGGATCGGATAGTGGAATATTTGACGATGCGCTGGCAAGTGTTAGTGAGGTGGAATTCCGGCCCTGAAGACACCAGCTCGCAAGTTTCTGACAAGTTGTTTTGTTATACGTTGCCGTTCACATGCTCGTCGTCTGATGTTGCGAGGGGCGAGGAGTTTGGTTTGACCTGTATTGCGCTCGCGTGAACACTCCACAGCCATGCTGTGGCACGTGAGGTGGTCGAAGCTTACTTGGTCCGTGGGGGCGGGGTGGACTCGAGACTCCACTGGCATGGCCGCAGCTCGCGAGCTTCTGACGACGATCACGTGGGCGTGTTCCAATCGAGAGATCCCGGGGGTCTCGGCTCCATTCGGGCTGGACGAAAGGGGAGATAAGGAAAGGGGGGGGACGAAATCTGCTGCGTGCAGCTGGTTTCGGCCCCACCGAGGGGCCCATCCCTCGATACATTGGCCGCCTCCGGCGCCGGGGGGCGCCAGGAAAATCAGCGATACGTGAGCTGATTCTCAAACCCCCCCTTTGCTGTCCCCCCCTTTCGCCCAGCCCGATCCATGCGCCGAGAGTGCGCCGACGCCGGGGGCCAGGGCACGAGGGGCGGGCGCCGGCAGCTCCCCGCGGCAGGGCGCGGCGCGAGGGACGGGGCCCCGTGGCCCCTGCTGTGGCATCGCTCCGGACCTGTGCATTGGTGTGTTGTTGGGCGAGGGCCGCCGAGGAGCATCCTGTGAAGGGCCCGTTTTCCACCACCACCACAAGTTGAAGGGGGGAGGAGGTCCGCCTCCTCCTCCTCCTTTCGTCCTTCTCCTCCTCCTCGTCCTCCACCTCCTTACCCCTCCAACTCATGGTGGTGGTGGTGGAAAACGGGCCCATCATCCTGGATCGTCGAGCAACAAAGCCACGCACCAGACCAAACACTGCACGGGGAGCGGGCGTCCGAGCGATGGCAAGGTGCGGGCGGGCGCGCGCGCGTGAGGTCTCTCAGGAGGCCGAAGCACAAGGTGCTGGGTGCCTCTCCCAGGACGCCCCCCGGCGTCTTGTCCGGGCGGGGCAGCCGTACACACCACCTCCGTGCCCGGTCGGGGCCGTCCTGGGCCCATCCTGGCCGTCCTGGCCGGATGGGGTGCAAAGGCCCATCCTGGCCTGGGCCAGGGCGGCGTGTGCCCCAGGGCCCAGGGTGGCCTTCGCCAGGCACGGTGGTGTTGTACAGGGTGGCCTTAGTCAGGCCGTAGTTTGAGCCTGTCCAGCGGGAAGCGAAGGGAGTCATGATGACGCCGAGGGGACAGTTTGCACATCGAGAAGGAGGGGGAGGAGCGTAGAGGGCAACAAGAGAGAATGAGATAACAGGTGGAATGGAGAGTGCAGCGGGTGCCCACGCAAATTGTAAGATGCATTTGTTACAGGAGTGTCCATTGCGCGCCCCCAGAGCGTATGTACACACCGCGATCCTTGTGAAGCAGTCACGAACATACCCGGTCACATGTGAACACATAGACATGCATGTGCATGTCGGCACCCCTGAATTGTTTCATACGTCAACGTACACCCGTAAATCGTCATGCGCACATTCACACGCGAGACGCATGTTATTGTGTTTCTGCACGCGCACACGCGTACTAGGTTTGATGCATATACGTGCGCATCTAGTTACAGTTACGTAGGTTCCAGCACACATAAGCACGTATGTATAGACGCATTCACACATGTTCGTAAAAGCTCGCTGGTTAGAGTGAGTTTTGTGAGTCGACAAGCATAGTCATGCACCAGTCTTCACGGCCGTGTGTACTCGTGAACATCGATCTGCCCGCACACACGCGCGCAATCCGTTGGCAGAGCCATTTTGGTGGACAGCAGTCTTCCGTAGCCATTTTGGCTCGAATCTTTTTGTTAACGGAGGCGGATGGTGTAGTGCCTGGCCGCGCCCGCGACCTTGCGCCATGGCCAGCGCCTGGCGCAATGCGGGCGGCAGAGGCTCTTGGGGAGGCGCGAGGGCACACGGTTTCGCCGCCTCTGGCGCTGGCCGCGTTTTCCATGCGGCGGACCAGGGCCACGCCGCCAATGTTGCCAGCGCCCGCCGCGGCCATTTCGCCGCCGCCGCCGCTGGCGCGCCAGCCGGCCCGCATGGTTACACGGCCGTGCCAACCACGGAGGACGATTGTTGCAGTCCGCCCTGCGGCTTTATCCCGGAGCCTTGCCAGGACGCTTGCTGCGAGGGATCCGGATGCGAGGGGGGTGCCAACGTCATGTCCTACGTGGGACCAGGCGGGGACTACGTGCTGCAACAAACGTTCAGGTTCATCGGCCGTGGCGCCGGGCAGTGGGGCCTCGTGACGATGCCCCAGCGGGGCCCGAGCTGCGTGGTGTGCACGGGGCTCTGCGCCTTGCCCCTGCTGCTGCTCCTATTGGCATGGTGGCTGCTCGTCCCGGCGGTGGACACCTCAACGACGACTGTTGCCCCCATCCAAGCCCCCTTCTTGCCGACGCCGGAGCTGGTCAGCTCCAAGCTGTCGTACGATTGCTCCATGGCCGCCCAGCGAACTTGGACGACTGGCAAGAGGGCGTGGTGCTGCGAGAAGGTCGGGAAGGGGTGCCCGACGACCCCGCCGCCGCAGCAGCAGCAGCCGCCGCCGCCCCCGCCCCTGCCACCCCCTCCCCCGCCGCCCCTGGCCCCGCCGGCGCCCACCACGACGCCGTGCCCCATCTCGGCGGCTCACAGATGGGGCCGTGCGGGAGGGGGCCCTGAGGACAGGAGGGGATCCCCGGCTGAGTCTGCACCGTGTGAGGCCCCTCGTCCTCGGGGCCCCCTCTCTCGGGGCCCCCATCTTTGCGCCGCCGGCCATCGACTGCAACGCGGGGTACAACGACCTGGACCCGCTGCAGTGGGTGCGCGGCTGGAGCGGGGCCAAGAAGCTCTGGTGCTGCAGGCACGCGGGCAGGGGCTGCCCCGTGGAGCTGCCGCCGCCCTCGGGCCAGCCCCCCTCGGGCCTCCCCCCCGAGCCGGACACGTCCACCTACGATTGCGGCGCCGGCTACCACGAGTGCATGCATTGCATCCGCGCGGCCTGGTCGCCTGCGAAGATCGCCTATTGCTGCCGCGTGGAGCACAAGGCGGGGCACTTGCTTCGGTCCGATCGGCTGCGCATTCGCTGCCGATGCGGTCGGATCCCGATCCTGCGGCGGTCCGATCGGCCTGGTGCTTGTACGGAGATGTCTGCGCGGCCGGTCCGATTCAGGTTCGATCTTTTGCCAACGCAGCCCGAATCGACGCACGTTCCGATCCGCTCCGACTTCCAGTTCCACGGGGTCGAGGGATGGAGGAGAGGGGAGAGAGGCAGGCTAGGTGCGCTCACGCCACCTCTCAGGGGGGGAAAACACACAGACACAATTAATCGTCGATCCCCCAGAAAATATATGAAAATATGGGAAGTGGGGGGGACGACAGAAACCCCGAAAATATGGGAAAGTATGGGGGATCCTGTTATTTGTGTCTATTTATTTGTGTTTCCCAGGGCCTCTTCAATATCTGGCATCCCACCCTTCCCCTCCGTCCTTCCCCGTTGCGCTGTTGTCGTCTCTTTCCGCCCACTCCTATCACGGCAATCCTGGAGCTGAAGGAGGACCTCGTCGTGGCATGTGCAGTTGGGAACAAGGGTAGCTGTGTACATTGGAGGAGGAGGTGGCGGATGAGCAGGTGGATGAGCAGGAGGAGAAGTAGGAGGATGAGGAAGGAGGTGGACGGGGACGAACTGCAGCAGCAACAGCAGCAGCAGCAGACGCTGGAGTGGAAGGATCGGCAGCAAGGGATGGCAGAGGAGGGGAAATGAGGGGGGCGACAGCGATGAAAACTAATCGGATCCAGGAAAGTTACCCGCGCAGGGGAACGAGCGCCATTCTGAACATCGGGAGCCCAGCGCCGATCCAAAAATGAGGCCCACGCTGCAACGCGAGAAACATGTTGAATTCTGGGCAACCGAAAAAATACGAACGGATTGTAAACGACCATGAGGGACACCGAAGTTCGATATTCGGTGTGTGAAGACACTTCGCGGAGAGGGCCGGATACCTTCCAGACAGAGTCGGGGGAGAGAAGAGAGTCGTATTCACAGTGTGTAATTTTCATGGGGAGGGAGGGGACGGAGAGGGATTGTTTGGATTGCAAAGTTGTTTCAGCCGATGGCCTGTCAGCGAAGTGCGACGCTGCAGCTAGCATAATAATTCGTTTCGAAGGAAGCCGAAGAAGTCCTACACGGGCACGACTAAGTAAGCACAGTATAGAACGATGGGACCCCCACGGCAGAGCGGATGACACGCGTCGAACCGAAGCGAGGTGTCCAGATCCTCCTAATCCTCACATTCATCCCAACTCTCTATAATAGGCAACTGGACGGACAAACAAAAACGCTAATGCGGCAACATATGGTTTGCTGTGCCCGTCCAGGGCATTCGGGAGGAGGGGCGGAGGGAGGGAGTGTTAAAGCTGAAGAGAACGAGAGCTCTCCAGGCTCAACAGGCTGCAGGCGCAGGGATGTGCAGAGGACGACGCGGGCCTTTCGGAGAGCCGGGGAAGCAGGAGCGAAGGGGCGGAACGAGTTAGGGAGGCGAGCCAACAGATCACACAGTCAAGGTCTACAAAGTAGGCCAGAGCTCTACCACTGCAGTCCGGTACCCGCTACGATTCTCTCAGCTATTCGGGCATCGAGGTCGTTTGTCGAAAGGGGGTGCGCGGGGGTGGCAGGGGAGTGGGCAGAGGCTCTGGCTGCATCCACCTCCTTACGTGCCGATTAACAATACCAGCATGCACTACAGCATGGATGTGAGCGGCCGACATACCAGGAAAGCTATTGGCGTGTGAAGTGGAACATGCCGGCATGTGTTGCACAGACCCACTTCCACTGCAGGTCTAGGACACGCACAGGAGGCCAGTTGGAGGGCACCGTTAGCACGTTCACGGCTGACTGCGACGTATGGCTCAAGATCAGGGGCGCCAGCGGACTCGACGTCTTCCACCCTTGCCAGGCTGTCGGGCTCGCCTTCCTGGGGCGTGGCAGCAGGCGCCGCGGCTGCGGCTCCCGCGGCAGACGCGGCCAGCTCCGGAGCGGCTTGACGATCGGCAGCCACAGACGCGGGCGAAGCCTCGGCCACAGCCTCGGCGCCGCACAGGGCGGCAGCTGGAAGTACGGCACGAACACGAGACACAGCAGGAACGCAAAAGACAGCACGAGGACGCCGCTCACCATGCACCGCGGCCGCAAGAGCCGCCACGTCGACCATCAAATCCGGCCTCTGCACGCGTGCAGCATAGCCGAGCCTCCGCGCAGCAGCAAGGAGGGGCGGCCTCGGCAGGCAGCGCCTCCTTGCTGGACGCGCGGCCGCACCTGGACACGCGCGGCCGCACCTGGACACCAGCAGACAGCCATCGCAGCAGGGGCACGGCGGGCCTGCGACACGCCGAGAGAGCGGCGGGGCCAGCGCGTCTGGCAGTTGCCCCGACGAGGCTCGCAGAAAAACCTCGACCCGGGACGGCGACACGGCTACGGCAGAGGTGGAGGCGGAAGGCGGGAGGGAGAGGGACCCTTCGCCAGAGTGACCCTTGGTGCTGGCCCAAAGGGGATCGGGTGATTTTTCTTGCGGGATGAGCTTGACCTCGCGTCGGCACCCGCATCGCGTGATTGCGCTCGCATTTGAGCGCGCCAGGTTTGGGCCCACCCCTTGCAATCGACAGCAGCGCATACGCGTTGCACCCTACAGCTTGCATTGGTTACCCGAGGGGCCGGTCGACCAGTCGGCGCGTTTTCTGGCCCAGGACCAGTGCCGAATCCCAGCCCAAATCCCAGAGCGTCTGGTTTGAATATGTTTGGATATGTTTGGATATCTTTTGAAATCTGTGAATATGTTTGAAGAACAAATGGGGATCTTTATTGTTATATGGCCTCCAAATATATTCAAACATATTCCAGGCTCTCGGATGGGGCTGGTGTTGGCCATGACGCCGGGCCTGGTCAGACGTCATCGCGATGCAGCCCGGCTGTGCCAGACCTCGTCGTGGTGGCCCTCGGCAGCGTCTGTTCTCGCAGCGCCTTCGAAGGGCCCCTCGAGGCGCTCGAATTCAGTCGGCTGAAATTCGCTGTTGCCCGGTGGCGCGACACAAATTCTCGAGTGGCGCCCCGCCGATCTTTGACGCGGCGCGGCAACGCCGGCTTGCGCGATTGCGTTTGGCCCCCACGGGCGCCCCTGGAGCCGCGCACCAAAGGTCACTCTAGCCTTTACGTGTAGTCGACAGGGGGGGATTGGAAAAGGGGGCTTTTGAAATCTGCTGCATCCAGCTGGTTTCGGCCCCGCCGCTGGGTCCATTCTTCGATACAGCTACGCGAGCTGCTTCTCAAACCCCCCCTTTGCTCTCCCCCCGTTTCGCCCGGCCCGAGAGGGAGGGGCCCTGGGCGTGCGGCCGGCCGGTCCCCAGCCAAGGCGTGCGCGGGGACGATCCCCGAGTAGCCACCCCCCCCTGCGCGGGCGCCCCGCACGGGACGAGCCGGCCGCGCGCGCGCGCCTGGGGCCCGTGCGCAGCGGGGGCCCGCCTCGGCCAGGTTGGGTCGGGCGGGAGGGTCCATCGGTACAATCGAAGCGGGTGCGGAAAGATCGGCTGGACGTCACGTTTAGTGCGGGCAGAGAAGGTTTGGTGCACGTTTGGTGCCACGTTTCGCCGGAGTCACGTTTCGCCGGACTCACGTTTGGGAAGATCGGCTGGACGTCACGTTTCGCCGGAGTCACGTTTGGTGCGGGCAAAGAAGGGTCCCCAGATGGCTGAAACGCAGGAGCAGCGGCTTGCGCGCCCAGGTTTGGTCCCCCCGCGGCCCGTCACCCTTACCCAGAGTCACTCTTGCGAGTCGCCGGAAAGAGTGGGCAGGATTCTTGACCATTTTGAGCAGGATTCGTTGTCGGCGTCGCCGCAGAAGTTGTTCATGTGAGGCAGAAGGCCGCCTGCTCAGGAGCGGCCGCTGTCGGTTTTGCACGACGTTTGTGGCTGGGCATCGTGCCCATGTTTGTCGTACCCCTTTCGTGCGCACAGGCCTCCTATGTGAGGTCCGTGTAGAAGGTTTCGGAGGATCGCGCCGCATCGCCGCGCAGCGCGATGTATCGGAGCGATCCTCCGACCAAAAGTGCTCGGACCCATTGGGGATTTGGAAACGGGTGGATGTGAAATGTGTTGCGTGCAGCTGTTTTCGGTTCCACCGCCAGGCGCTTTCCTCGATGCCTCCGGCGCTGGAAAAACCGGTTGCGCGAGTTGATACGCCAACTCTCTTTACCCGGGGGCGACGAGGGGGGCGAATAGTCCATGGGATGGGAGAGCAATACACGTATTCAGGGGCGCCGATAGCTCATGCGTTCGGCAAGGCTCCTGGGCGAACACGTGTAATGCCCGCCCCTGAACGATCCGCCCCCGTCGTCGCCTCCGATTTCCTAGCCCCCCTTCCCTTCTGACCTCACCAGGGCCTGTTTCCCCTCCTTTCGGGGGCAACGCCAGGGGGAGAGGAGGGAGTGAGGGAGGGAGGGAGGGAGGGAGGGAGCGAGGGAGCGAGGGAGCGAGGGAGCGAGGAAGGGAGGGAGGGAGGGAGGGAGCGAGGAAGGGAGGGAGGGAGGGAGGGAGGCAGGGAGGGAGGAGGAGGAGGGGGGGAGCATCGGCCCCCGATCGCCGATCGACCACTCATCGCGCCAAGGAGTGCGGGTTTTTGTGCTGTCGGGTGCCTATCGCCCATCTGTCGGCGATGTACCATCGAGTCCACGTCAATATCCCCCCCCCGGCCAGTCCCCCCCCCGCCGAGCCAGTCTCCCCCCAGGCCCGTCTCCCTCGTTCCAAGTCAACGAGAAACATTGCCTACGCATTGACTCTTGGAGTTCCGCGCGGATCTCTTGGATCTGCGCTGGGCCCCCGCTGGCGGCGCCTCTGGCGCCGCCCCCTGGCGCTCTCCGCGCGCCAGAAGGGGGGGGGGGGTCCAGCGCCGACCCAAGAAATCCGCGCGAACCTTCGAAAGTTGGTTTATGGTTATGGTTCTGCTTCTCTGGATGGCGAGGAAAGGATAGCGGTCTCGCTGCAGCAGGTTCGCTCTATGTCGATGCGGCGGCGACTCCAGCGCGGGCGGTCATAGTTCAACGCCGTCAGTAATCAGACCTTGAGGAGGGTATCCTCGAATGTTCTTCAGTTTGGCGGGTGGAGGGTCTCATGTTCTCGAAGGATGTTCTTCCGTCCTAGGTTTGGCTGGCCGTAAGCATAAATTGTCGGAGGTCCGCGCGGATTTCTTGGGATCCGCACTGGGTACCTTTGGCGGCGCCTCCGGCGCCGCCCCTGTTGCGCTCCATGCGCCAGGGAGAGGGTTTCAGCGCAGATCCAAGAAATCCACGTGGACTTCCAGAAGTTCTGTTCTTCGGCTCCCCCGCATCCGCGCCGTGAAAAGACCACAGTCCAAGATGTTTGGCCATGCTCGGCCTCTCGAGGCCCTGACGGGGCCCAGGCCCTGGGGCCGCCACGAACCGGCCCAGGGGTGAAAAGGCGGCCCTGGGGAAGGTGCCGAGAGGTCAGGGGGACCACGCGATGAAGTCGAACAAGACGTGATGGGGCCGGGGTCCTCCCTCTCGGGAGCCCTTCTCAATTGGCCTCTCGGCATGAGCTTGTTTCCTCGTGCGGTTAGACACCCCTCTTGTCCTCCTCCTCCTCCCCCTCCTCCTCCTCCTCGAGCCCCCCGTCGCCCTCCTCCCGGGGGACGCTTCCCAGAGAGCCTTCCGGAGCGTTCTGGGGGGCCCTCCGCCCCCTCCGCGCCTGCCCCCGCCGCGGCCTGCTCCGGGCGGGCATGCTCCGAGCGGGCCCCACCCCCGATTCGGGTCGGGGCCGAGATGCGTTACAGTCAACCCGCATGGTAAGGATGGGCAACCTTCCCAAGGCTACCCTTGCATCCTCGCCTCCTCGGTCCATCCTTCGCCGCTTTCGTTGGCCGCGACCCGCTCGAAAAGCTTCGAAATGGGCGTCTCCAAGGCCCTTGCAACCTCATCGCGCTTTCTTACTACACGGGTCAACTGTAGTCGCAGACGGTGCTCCTGAGACCGCGGGGGCCTCGAGGCCAACCGGGGGACCTCCGAAGCCACGGACGACTGGCGGCGGCAGGAAGGACGACGTCCTCGCTCCTTCTCGCTCCTCTCCTCCTCCTCCTTCGCCTCCTCCTCCTCGCTCCTCCGCCACTTGGCTCTCCGCGTTATTTTGCTTCTGGAGGCCTCAAAAGGCTTCTGGCGACCTCCTGACGAGCTCGTCCTGCGGCGCTCAGCATCGGCGAAGTTGGTACGTCTGCGTCGTAGTCTTCGGAGGCCAAGTAGCTCGGCTGACGAGCTGCCCCAGCCAGCAGATGCTCGTCCAGGCAAAGCCACTGGGATCGAGAGCCTCGGGCAAGCAAACAGAAAAGGGGCAGTCTGTCCTCCTCGCCGTCCCATTCTTCCTCCTTGTCTCCTTTACCTCCAAGCCCCCTCCTGGCATACTGGGCGAGGAAGAGATTTCGTTGGCTTAAGCCACATCCGCCGATCCCTTGAATTTGACCCCCCCCACAAGAGCCCAGGAAGGTGCGGCCCCCCCCCGATCAACTAGGACCCACCGAGATTCCTCCTCCCTCCTTCCGATTGGCCGCCTCACCCCCGCCTCCCGCAAGGCGTCGCTTAATTTTTGCCCACTCTTGCACTCTCACCAACGAGCCCGAGGAGCTTCTCCAGACCCTTGGCCCGAGACCTCATCCGCCTCCTCTCACCGCGGCAAAAGGGTGGTCCGGAAAGAACGGAGCCTCCCCCCCGAGCTCATGTGCGGCTGGTCGCGTCCCACTGTCTCCGCCCTCTGCACGGTGCCACCTGTCCCCCTGCCACTACTCGTAGTAGTAGTAGTAGTAGTAGTAGTAGTAGTAGTAGTAGTAGTAGTAGTAGTAGTAGTAGTAGTAGTAGTAGTAGTAGTAGCAGTAGTAGTAGTAGTAGTAGTAGTAGTAGTAGTAGTAGTAGTAGTAGTAGTAGTAGTAGTAGTAGTAGTAGTAGTAGTAGTAGTAGTAGTAGTCGTAGTAGTAGTAGTAGTAGTAGTAGTAGTAGTAGTAGTAGTAGTAGTAGTAGTAGTAGTAGTAGTAGTAGTAGTAGTAGTAGTAGTAGTAGTAGTAGTAGTAGTAGTAGTAGTACGACCACCACTACGATCCAGACGAGACCTCGTTTCTCCTTGGATGCATGCGAGCTGCGCATCCGTCGGCACTGTCGTGGACTCCTGGGGTGTCCAGCTGAGTCGAGGGCCATGCGCGCCCAGACGAGACCTTGGTGCTCCCTGGGTGGCTGCGAATTGCGCATCTGTCGCCACCTTTCGTGGTCTCCTGGGAAGTCAGTCCAGCGGAGTCGGAGGCCACGTGCTCCAACACGAGACCTCGCTGCTCCCTGGGCGGCTGCGAACTGCGCAATTGTTGCCACTGGTTCCGTGCTCCTGGGAGGTTCAGCGGACTTGTGGGCCACGCGCACCCAGACGAGTCCTCGCTGCTCCTGTGGCAAGGCATATAGGAAAAGCTTCGGCAACAGGAGAAGTGGGGCGGCAAAGGGGCGGCTCGGCGTTGCCGAACCGTTGGCGTCGGTCGCCCAGATCCCTTCCGTGATCGAGGACGCGACGACGATATAAAACCTAACGCGTGTCATTCACTGGACGATCACGCGGCGCGTAGTCGTGAGTCTCCGCTACAGGATGACGGGATCATGAAGGAGCGCGGGTTCAAGGCATTGGTGAAAGTCAATGCGAAGGCGATGGAAAGGAACGCCGAACAGTTGCCGAAGGACGGCGCGCTGCCAGAGATTGTCCGGCCGCTTCCGCGCGGCACAGCTTTGGACAAGTTCATAGCGCAGAAAAGCTCGACGCCTTGCGACCCGGCGCGAGATTGTCGCGGGGCGGCCGCATGTGACATGGATTTGCAGACTTCGAAAGCAATAGTGATGGAGAAGCCCTCGCCGACGAAGGAAACGCGAACAGGTCGCGGCAGGGTGCGCTGGAGCATTTGTCTGGCAGATCGCCTGCAGAGAGCGAGGGCGAAGGTCCAGACGCGGCGCCTGGCGTTCAGGATGCGGCTGCGGCGAGGGAAGTGCAGAGTTTCATTTTGCGTTTCTGAAGTTCTTGGACGGTCAGGTGCGACGGACCCGACGGCCCCTGCCGCGGGGGCGGAGACGAGCGCGCACTCGCCAGGACGAGCAAGGCGGGCAACAGGGCTGCGAGCGTAGATTTGGAGAGTGTACAGTTCCGGATGCGGGAGTTTACGGAGACGGACGCGACCCGCGCTTGTTGCGTCGTGTATCTTGGACGCCAAATGATGAATCAGTTCGCGCCGTGGTTTTGCGGGGTAGCTTTTCTTTCCTGTTTGAATTTGGCGCGGGGTCGCCGCGCATGAGTGAGTGTCAGGGAAATGCGCTGCATCGACGTGGGCCAGCGGCGCCCCGCGTGGAACGTGCATTGTAGGCACGCGCCTTGGCGCGTCGGGTGGAGTCGAAGTTCCGGCTGGAGTCTGTCGTCGGTTTGTTTTGTTCAGAGTTCCGCGAAGATGGCGTGATCCGCGCGCTTGGCGGACTGCCAGACGGACGGGCTGGCAGACAGAACGCCAGTATTCTCGGAGTGAGCTCTAGAGGGCGGCCGCGAGCGTTGTCGATGCTTTGCGCGGCACGTTCGCGAACTGGGAGCCGGGAGGTCCGCGAACGTTCGCGGGGTCTTCTCCGGGTTCCAGCACGTGGCGTCGTTGGGCATGATGGCGAGGCGTTCGGCGGCAGGGGCCAGCGCCGGTGCTCGTAAGATTGAAGGCGCGAGCGAAGTGCGGACGCTCGTGATGCACGACGCCCATGCGGCTAGAACTGTGCATGACGTGCTTTGGCGTTTCACGATGTTGCCCCGCGACAGTGCTTTTATGCTTCACAATCCTGTCATGGCGCGGCTATCGCGCTCGCGGAAAAATGGACACCGTGAGTCGTAGTGCGGCACGGGAGGTTCACGGTCGGGAACAGTTGGCGGGCGTCGGTGGGCGTCGGGCCATTTATGGGTTCCGTGAGCGTTTTTTAGACATGCTGTATGTTCCGATCCGCCCAGACTGCGAGTGCACAGGCGCGCACGGAAACAACGAGACGGCAGCGGGCGGCTGTTATGCCCCCGCAGCAGTGATGACTTGTGCGCGGCACTCGACATCGGGCGCCTTGCGCAGGTATTCAGTGTTGGGGGGTCCGGCTCTGGTGTTGGGAGGTGTCGGCGGAGATTACATCAGTTCAGCGGTTGTGGATGTCTTGTTCGCTCTGTGTTTCGTTCTCTTCCCCCCTCCCTTGCTCTTCATCCCCTTCCTGCCCTTCGCCATCGTCGACCGCCACCTCTTCGCGTGCCGATCGTGGCGGGCGTCATCCCCCCCCCCCTCTCGGTGTTCCCTCCCGCCTCTCCTTCCCCGTCTTCCCTCGGACAGAGGGGAAGGGGCGACAGCTAAAATGCCACCACTCAGTGCACATGGCAAAAAAGGAGAGAGAGAGAGAGAGACATAAACAAAACAACAGCCATACAAATCAAGAGCGAGAGACAGAGAGAGAAAAACAGAGAGAGAGAGAAAGAGAGCGAGAGGGAGAGAACGGGATAACCTGTCAACATGAATGTGTGTACGTGTGAAACTGGAAGAGGGACACACGTAACAAAACAATGACCCTGGCTGCCCGCATTTCCGCCGCCGTGGAACCTTGTGAGACAGGCTGCATGGGAATGGGGACGAGATCTCAGGCAGGAGCGCTGGGGGGGAGGGGGGCAATGAGGAGAAACGGGGAGGAGAGAAGAAAGAAATGAGGAGGAATAGGGGGAGGAGAGGAGGAGGAGGAGGAAGAGGAGGAGGTGGAGGAGGAAGAGGGGGAGAATGAAGAGGAAAAGCAGCTCGAAGGGCTTTGCTACACCGGCCAAAATCTAGCTCAGGGCGGCGTTATTACATAGGCCCTGTGCGCTGTGAGCCCTCGGTGAGGGCCACACTTGCTCGTTGGGAAGGCCGGGAAGAGTTAGTTTTCAGAGGGGGTTGGAGGGATGCGGGGGGGGGGCATCATTGCCACACTCAGGCGCGGCAGCATACTCTTGAACCCGTGTTGACCCCAATTGTATTGTTTTTCTTGTTTCTCGCCGACGCGCGATGCTACAGTGCCAGGGACTAACGTTTACTTGATCGTTCCAGCTGGTGCATCTCGCAATTGTTCTGGGTGCAACAGTTTCGTTGCTCATGTTTGCCCAACGCAAAACAAATATTACATCAAAGAAGAAACCCAATCAGTGGATGATGTGAATGTTATTAGTGATATTGATAGTGAGATCGATTGCGATATCGATCATAGATTGATAGTTAGGACTGTCGTAAGGTCGATCGTGAGACCGATAGTGAGATCGATGGTGAGATCGTTTAGAGCGGTGGGTAATTGGATCGATGGAACCCAGCAGCCCGGAAATCCGGGCACCCCGCCACCCACCGGAATCGGCCCAGAACCCGGAACTTGGAACCCGGGAATTTGGAACCGCGAACCTTGGATTTTGGCGGCCCATCGAAATCGGGCGCCAATGTTCGCCAAATATTCCCAGATCCCGTATGACCTGATCAGTGTGAGCACTGATTGAGAAAAAAACATGAGGTGAACAGAAAAGACGATAATGTTATGATGATTTTGATGATGTTGATGCTGATGATGATGGTGATGATGATGATGATGATGGTGATGATGGTGATGGTGGTGGTGATGATGACGATGGTGATGATGTTGATGATGAAGCTGTCGATGATGATGATGATGATGATGACGATGATGCTGATGTTGATGCTGATGCTGATGCTGATGATGATGATGATGATGATGATGATGATGATGGTGATGATGATGATAATGATGGGGCAGGCGAAGAAAGGAAGAGGGGGACGATGATGAGGTTGAGCTAGGCGATTGTTGTTTGCCGCATGTTCGTTGCATTATTTCCAGCTGTTTCTCCTGCTGGAATATTCCTTGCCTTGTTTTGTGCATTACAGATGTGCCCTCGTTGGCACCCGGTGTGCTGTCGAAAGCTGTCATAGATCCCAGCGGCCGTCACGAGCAACGGGCACCGCAAGAGAGCCACCGTTTTGCCACGTGTTTTGAATCACTAGTGGCAGGTCGACAGGTGTAGAAGAGGAAGGACAGCGAAGGGAAAACGGAGAGGGGGTGCACGCTGTAACTCTTTCCGTTCCCTCCCAGTTCCTTTTTCTCCTCTCTCTTTCTCTCCCTGCGTGAGAGCGCGGGGAGGGGCGACGGGGACGGGCAGGGGGCTGGAAGGGCGGGCAGGAGCGGGGGGAAGTGCCAAGGGGTGTGGAGGAGGCGTGGGGCTGGAAGGGCGGGCTCGGAGCGAGCTCGGAGTGGGCAGGCCGGGCGGGCCAGGGACGCCCACGAGATGGCCTCGGGCCGAGCGCTCCGCGCACCGTGCCGTCGCGCAGGCACGACCCGGGCGCGAGCGCGAACGGCATCACGCAGGCGGCGGCGTGCCCCCTCTGCGTCTCGGCGGCGCGCGCAGTTTTCTGGACTCAGGAGGAGGAGGAGGAGGAGGAGGAGGAGAAGGGAGGAGGAGGGAGGAAGGAGGGAGGAGGAGGGAGGAAGGAGGGAGGGGGAGGAGGAGGAAGAGAGGGAGGAGGAAGGAGGGAGGGAAGAGGAGAACGATGAGGGGGAGGAGAGGAAAATAAGAGGAGGAGAAAGATGGAGGAGGTGGAGGTGGAGGAGGAGAGGAGGAGGAGAGAGAGGAGGAGGAGGAGAGGAGAGGAACGAGGAGGGAGGAGGGTAAGGAGGGGTAATTAAGGAGGAGGAGGAGGAGAGGAGAGGGAGGAGGAGGAGGAGGAGGAGGAGGGAGGAGGAGGAGGAGGAGGAGGAGGAGGAGGAGGAGGAGGAGGAGGAGGAGGAGGAGGAGGAGGAGGAGGGGGAGGAGGGGCGGTGGGCGCAGGGGGGGCGGGAGGCCAGACTCTGCGACCACTCGCGAGCCCTGCCCCTGCGGGTCCGTCCAAGCGACGCTGGAGGAGCGGACAAGCCCGCCGAGGTGCTTTGGGTTGCAAGGGTGCTTCGAATGGCAAGCAGTGGCGAAGCGTCCTGGCTCGCCTACAGCCCTACAAGCAATGTTCTAAGAACCTTCTGTGGTTTCCACGAAATGTTCTTAGGACATTTCTGGCTGGGACTGTTTTGTTTTATCACATCGGGTTTATGTTTTACGAACATTGTTTTTGTTATTAGACCATTTCTGGGTTCTAACAACATCTCGTGGTAGGACTATAGGAATGCCGGGACGGTCGGTCCCTGCTCAAGAATGGCGAGCCCCAGAAATTTATTCTCAGTGGGCCAGTTTCGTTTTCGTTCTCGTTTGGGCCGGTGTCGTTTTAAACGTTCGTGGTACAACGGTCGGATTCAGCGTTGTTCGTTCTAAACGCCAACGCGTTGTACACATCGTTGTGGTCGGTTCTTAGTTCACACTGACCTGAAGGGGCATGGTTCACATGTGCTTCCTTACGCATGCCACCCCTCGCACTCCCCTGGTCGCGGTTTTTTGTCATCCTTCGTTGTCAAGGGTAGATGATGTCGAGATTCCACGTTTGGGATGTTTTTCAGTGTGCTGCCCCTCCCCCTTTTGTTGTCTCTGGGGACTTCTCGTCGCCACGGCTGGATTCCCCTCGAATTGCCGCAAACGCACCCGAGAATCGGTTCCGGGGGGTCGACCTTGGACCCCTGGATGCAGACACCATCGCGTCGTGGAGCGATCAGGGTGGACGTGTTCTCTGATGTTCGACCTCTTGGGGCCCTCGTGTTGCCCCAGGACCGCCCGAGAGCTGCTCAGGATGAGGGGGAGGCGTGGGGAAGCAGTCGAGACGCCTCTGGGGGGTCCACGCGGAATCAGACGAAAACAGGCAGGAGGTCTGGGCACATGCCCCGACAGGCCACGCGCGGAGGCGGGCAGGGGGAGGAAGGAATGCCGCTTAGGAGCACCCCTGCTTCTCAGAAGGCGCGGGCGGTACCTATAGATGTCAGGCCCGCGCCTTCTCAGAGACAGCCCCCTTCTGCTAAGACGCCTCCCCCCTCCCCTTTACCCCCTCGTGCGCGCCGCCCCCGCTCCTTCTCGACTCTCTGCCTCTCTCGTCCTCCCTCCCTCCCTCGCTCCCTCATCTCCCCTCAACTCCCCTCCCTCGCCCTTCCCTCTTCTCCGCCCCTCGAAGGGGGCGGAGCTCCTCCAGGAGCCCCCCCTGCCCTCCAGAGCGGGCCCCCCCCTTCTCGGCCTGCCCCCTCTGGCGCGCCGCCAGGCCTCGCGTTCGGTGTGGCCTGCGTTGGTGGTGCACACGTTTCCCTCCCGTTGCTGCACTGAAGTGGCTATGGATCGGCGTCGCCTGAACATACTACTACCTATACGACCACCCTTCGGGTGATAAGGAGGTTGTGGGGGGGGGTCGGAGGGGGGGGGAACGGACATCTTACTCAATCGATCTCACTATCGATCTCACTCAACGGGACACCACGGGACACTCGTCGATCTCACTATCGATCTCACTCAACGGGACACCACGGGACACCTCGGGCCACCACGGGACACCATGGGACACCGCGGGACACCTCTCGATCTCATTATCGGTCTCAGTATCGATCTTACTAATTATCGATCTCACTCAACGGGACACCACGGGAAACCACGGGACACCACGGGACACCTCGGGACACCACATCGATCTCATTATCGATCTCACGATCGATCTCACTATCGATCTCACTCAACGGGACACCACGGGACACCTGTCGATCTCACTATCGATCTCACTATCGATCTCATTTTTTGGCACACCACGGGACACCTCGGGGCAACACAACGATCTCACTGTCGATCTCACTATCGATCTCACTCAACGGGACACCACGGGACACCACGGGAAACCTGTCGATCTCAGTATCGATCTCATTATCGATCTTTTTTTTTGGACACCACGGGACACCTCGGGGCACCACATCGATCTCAGTGTCGATCTCACTATCGATCTCAGTGTCGATCTCACTCAACAGGGCACCACGGGACACCACCCGACACCGCGGGACACCGCGAGCCACCGCCAGACGGACGGACGGACGGGGGATAATCATTGGTCTTGACGTCGCTCTAGCAACGGCGGACACCTAAGGACACCACGGGACACCGCGAGCCACCGCCGGACGGACGGACGGACGGACGAGGGAGAATCATTTGTCTTAACTTCGCCCTAGCAACGGCGGACACCACGGGACACCACGGGACACCGCGGGACACCGCGAGCCACCGCGGGCCACCGCCGGACGGACGGACGGACGGGGGAGAATCATTTGTCTTGACTTCGCCCTAGCAACGGCGGGTTCATTCCTCTCGCGCGCCCACGCAGCTTCGGCTCGCCCGCACGCACGACACGAACGAAACGAAACGATTTCCCGGTTTGGGGTCTCCGTTCCGTTGCGATCTCACACCCCAAATTCCGACTATGTGTGCGTCGCCCCTCTAGGGGCACCGCGCGCGCCGAGAAATCTGATTCCTGGCGGAGACGGGTGAAATTCCGTGCCCTCCAGACTGGACTGAACCGAATTGATTGGAAAGGTTTTTTGAGAGCACATTTCAAACCGTTCGGGCGCAACCGTAACCGCCACTAGAGGACACATTTCAACCCGCCCGCAGGCGCAACTGCAACCTTGAGAACACATTTCAACCCGCCCGCGCGGACGCAACCGCAACCGCACCTAGAGGACTGCTTTTACCCCACCCGCGGGCCCGTGGAAGCAACCGCAACCAAAACCGCACCTAGAGGACACCTTTCACCTCGCCCGCGGGCCCGCGGAAGCAATCGCAACCGAAACCGCACCTAGAGGACACCTTTCACCCCGCCCGCGGGCGCAACCGCAACCGCAATTAGAGGACACATTTCAACCCGCCGGCGGGCGCAACCGCAACCGCAACTAAATGACACAATTCAACCCGCCCGCGCCGATAAGGAGGACGAGGACGAGGAGGAGGAGGAGGAGGAGGAGGAGGTGGACGCGGTTTTCTGCTGGGGCATTGCAGCGGGGAATCTCCATATCAAGCTGCTGCCTTTGATCGTAGATGATCCGTGGCGGGCGCAGTCTGACCGTACCGCTCGGGAAACGATCTACTACCAGATGGTTGTACTATTTATTCGTGTCAGGCGTACGCCTCCAATGAGGACACATACTGTTGGTGTGTCCTTCTGCGTCCCATGGCAATGGAGGAGGAGGGCGAGCAGGAGAAACATTATGGAGATGGGAGGGGAGGGAGGGATGGACAGATGAGCAGCTGGGAAGGAGGGATGGGAGGGAGGGATGGGGAGGGAGGGAGGGTAGAATAGGGGGGGCGGGGAGTAGCTGGAAGAGGAGGGATTGGAGGATGAGCACGGGCATGTGAGACGGGCAGGAGGAGGAGCAGGAGGAGGAGGAGGGCCCAAGTCTCCGACTAGTCGATCTATTCGGGTCGTTGGCAACGGGTGGTATCGACCTCTTCCCCGGATCCAGCTTGCCATCCCGAGTCTTCTTTTGACGGCCCAGGGGCCAGGAATTTGCCTTTCCCCCCCACCCAGAAGCTGAGAATAGCGAGACACGTATGGTGCACGTTTTTGTTTCGATGCGCCATGGGTATGGGAGGAGCAGGGGGGAATGGCTCAACGCTCCAGACACCAGGGCACTGCAAACCATGATTTTGAAAATTCCAGCTCGAGCGAGTGAATAGTGGATCATGTTTCGACACGCCGCTGCAGTTTCCTTGGTGCGTGAATGCCCTGGTCTGCGAAAGTCCCCATTCACGGGGCCCTGGAGGACGTGCGGCGAACGCAAGGGATGGTACATCTCTATTGCACTCGGGATTGGGACGCACGGATCAGCCTTGGCTGCCTGCAAAGGGCGTGGTTCGTCCTATTCTTGTGTTCGCCGCGGTGTGGCTTAACGTTCAACAGGAATTGGCTGGACCGCGGTTTGGGGAATATGGCTGGGTTGTGGGCCAGAGGCCTCGTAAACATATCTGGCGCCGGCTGGGGCGCCAGATATGTCTGTTTGCGGTCCGCCCTGCCCGCCCCGAAGACCCGCGGTTGCAGAGCGAGCAAACGGATAGGGCGCACGATGTCGTTCAACAGTCCTCCCTTCACCATTCCCCATGCCCTCTCGCCCTTTTGGGAGACAATCCTGATGTCCTGTCAGGCCTCTGCACAGCTTCGCGGCCTTTTGGAACCTACTGGTGTCGTTTGGGCCTTTCGGGCCGCCTCTCGGGGACTCTTGCGGGGGGCTTCTTGGAGGCCTGCCGGTGGTCTCGGGGGTCCTCTTGGTGCGGGCAAGACTTGCGTCCATCTCCACTGCAGCTCGGAGTTTCGGGCTCCCTTCCCCAGAAAAAGGATATGGATAAAAATCTGGCTGGCCACCAGAGGCTCGATGATTATCCATATCCAGTGCGCCTCGGCCTTGCGGCGCCCCTTCCAAGAAAGTCCAAGACGCTCTGCCCCCCTCCCGCTGGGAGCCGAAGGGGCGCGACGGTCACGGGTCTCGGCGCCCAGTGGTTTGGATTCGCACGCGATGTTTCTCCCCCAATCCCCGTTCAGAAACGTTTGGTCGTTCAGGAACAAGGGGAAATCGTGGAATACACCCCGAGGGGGCTATTCGGACGCACCCCTATAGAGGATGGACGCCCCCCATCTTATATCCTAGGGTTGGGCCCAAAAATTCTGGTCCATTCCAACACCTCACGAAGCCTGAGATCAGAGTGAGGGGGCCGAACGGTCAGTCGTTGTCCCTGAGTGCGTGGCTGAAGTGAGAATCCGTGGTGAGGATTATGCTTGTTGCGTTGTTGCTGTTGTTGTTGGTGGTGGTGGTGTCGGTAATGTAGTAGTAGTTGTTGTTGTTGTTGGTGATGTTGTTGTAGTTGTAGTTGTAGGTGTAGTAGTTGTTCTTGTTGTTGGTGTTGTTACTGGTGTTGTTGCTGTTGCTGTTGTTGCTGTTGTTGCTGTTGTTGCTGCTGTTGTCGTCGTCGTTGTTGTTGTTGTTGTTATTGTTGTTGTTGTTGGTGGTGGTGTTGTTGTTGTTGTTGTTGGTGGTGTTGTTGTTGTTGTTGACGAAACCACTAGCTGGCGGACCGGCCCCTCCCCCCCCCCCCCCCCCCCCGCGCAACGCAGCGCAACGCAACGCAACGCTCTCCCCGCGCGCCCCCCCGCGGGGCGTACAGGGACCCGTACAGGGTTCTATAGGGCTCCCACAGGACCCCTACAGGGTTCCATAGGATTCCTATAGGACCCCTACACGGTTCCATAGGATTCCTATAGGACCCGTACAGGGTTCCATTGGACTTTTGTAGGAGCCGCACAGGGTTGGATCGGACCCCCATAGGACCCCTACAGGGTTCCATCGGATTCCCATAGGACCCGTGTAGGGTTCCATTGGACTCCTATAGGACCCCTACAGGGTTCCATGGGACTCCCATAGGACCCCTACAGGGTTTCATAGGACTCCCATACGACCCAGACAGGGTTCCTGAAGACTCCCATGGAACCCCGACAGGGTTTCATAGGACTCCCATCGGACCCCTACAGGGCTTCATAGGACTCCCATAGGACCCCTACAGGGATCCATCGGGTTCCCATAGGACCCGGACAGGGTTCCATCGGGTTCCCATAGGACCCGGACAGGGTTCCATGGGACCCCCATAGGACCCGTACAGGGTTCCATCGGACTCCCATACGACCCCTACAGGGTTCCATCGGATTCTCATAGGACCCGTACAGGGTTCCATCGGACTCCCATAGGACCCCTACAGGGATCCATCGGGTGCCCATAGGACCCGTACAGGGTTCCATCGGACTCCTATAGGACCCCTACAGGGTTCCATGGGAGGCCCATAGGACCCCTACAGGGTTTCATAGGACTCCCATACGACCCAGACAGGGTTCCTTAAAACTCCCATGGGACCCCTACAGGGTTCCATAGGACTCCCATCGGACGCCTACAGGGTTTCATAGGACTCCCTTAGGACCCCTACAGGGTTTCATCGGACTCCCATAGGACCCCGACAGGTTTCCATAGGATTCCCATAGGACACGCATAGGATTCCATAGGATTCCCATGGGACCCCTACAGGGGTCCATCTCTTCTTCTTTCTGCTCCTGCGCGTACCGCTTCTTGCGATATCAACATTCGAGGTTATTTTCGTGGTTAGCCGGCTCCCAGGCGTGGCTCGGACCCTGGGGACCTGGGACAGCGGTCCTCGTTATCGCTTGGGCGTGTGCATTGTTCGTCGTTGTCGTCGGAGGGGGAGGAGGAGGAGGAGGAGGAGGAGGAGGAGGAGGAGGAGGAGGAGGAGGAGGAGGGGGAGGAGGAGGAGGAGGGGGATGGGGGGAAGGGGGAAGGGGAGGAGGACGAGGAGGATGTAGAGGAGGAGGAGGAGGAGGAGGAGGACGAGCCTCTAGAGGCCTCGGGCCCCGCCTCTCACGGCGCCTCCCCCCAGACCCTCCAGAGCGCCCCATCGGGAACCCAAGCGAGAACAATCCGTCTAGGATCCGTAAGGGATCCCATACAGTCCGTATAGGATCTGTATGGGATCCCATACAGTCCGTATAGGATCCGTAGGGGATCCCATACAGTCCGTATAGGATCCGTAGGGGATCCCATACAGTCCGTCTAGGATCCGTAAGGGATCCCATACAGTCCGTATAGGATCCGTATGGGATCCCATACAGTTCGTATAGGATCCGTAGGGGACCCCATACAGTCCGTATAGGATCCGTATGGGATCCCGTACAGTCCGTATAGACGCCGTATGGGATCCTAGACAGTCCGGATAGGATCCGTATGGGATCCCATACAGTCCGTATAGGATCCGTATGGGATCCCATACAGTCCGTATAGGATCCGTATGGGATCCCATACAGTCCGTATAGACGCCGTATGGGATCCTATACAGTCTGGATAGGATCCGTAGGGGATCCCATACAGTCCGTCTAGGATCCGTATGGGATCCCATACAGTCCGTATAGGATCCGTATGGGATCCCATACAGTCCGTATAGGATCCGTATGGGATCCCATACAGTCCGTATAGGATCCGTATGGGATCCCATACAGTCCGTATAGGATCCGTATGGGATCCCATACAGTCCGTATAGGATCCGTATGGGATCCCATACAGTCCGTATAGGATCCGTATGGGATCCTATACAGTCCGTATAGGATCCGTAGGGGATCCCATACAGTGGGAGCTCCCGTAGGGTCACACACCCCCCACCTGCCCGCGCAACGGAACACAACGCAACAGAGGCTGCTCATACAGCCGTGTTGCGTTGCGTTGCGTTGCGTTGCGGGGGGGGGGGGGGGGGGGGGGGGTCCTGGTACACCAGTGGGTTGTTTCGCTACATGGAGCAAAACAGCGAACTGGTGGACCGGCTCCGGGTACACCAGCAGGTTGTTTTGCCTTGTTGTTGTTGTTGTGTGTTGTTGTTGTTGTTGTTGTAATTGTTGTTGTTGTTGTTGTTGTTGTGTTGTTTGTTGTTGTTGTTCGTTGTTCGTTGTTCGTTGTTCGTTGTCGTTGTTCGTTGTTCGTTTGTTTGTTGTCGTCGTCCCCCACGCGACCCACCCGCGACCCACCCCGCGACACACCCCGCGACCCACCCCGCGACCCATCCGCGGCCCACCCCGCGACCCAACCCGCGATCCACCCGCGACCCACCCCGCGACCCACCCGCGACCCAGCCGCGACCCACCCCGCGACCACCCGCGACCGATCCACTGGTTTGAAAATAAACATTGGCGCCTGCGGCGGGCTTGTTGTATACTTTGTGAAACTTTGGCGCTTGCGGCGGGCTTCTCAGTCTCGCAGACTGCCGACGTCCCCACCGCCCCCTCACTCTTATCCGCATCTGCGGGGTGCTACGTAGGGGTTGACATATCCCCTGTTATGGATTGAAGAGCTTGGGATGGGCAGGCGTCCACCAATCGTCGGCCCCCTTCTTTACGCCGCTTGTTGGCAGGTTTTGTGGTCCCCAGAAGGCCAACACCAGCATTCCAGCCAGCCACGCCATAAGCACGGCATTCCCATGTGCAATTTCACGTGAATTGCACTTTTTGTCGGATTTACGCCCGTAAAGAGTAGCGGCCGAGCGCCCATGTCAACGGAGAGCCGTTGGTCTCCTGGAGGCGGCGCAAGAATTCGAAGGCAAAGGCAGGAACGGCACGACCGAAAAGTCTCGGCAACGTTGCCCTGCCATTCTTGATTATCCAGTCTGCCTCTGATCTGAGGCCGCCGTGGACGTCCAGGCGTCTGGCGTGGCGTCTGTGCCGTTGCATCGTCAATCTGGATCTTGAGGTAAGCGCGCTTCCGGCAGCGCGCAACACGTTGTTTGGCGAATTTTTGCAGCAGTACGGTACAGGCAACCCACATAGTGAGGATGAGCGATTTTCCAAGGTTGCCCTTGCATCCTTCCCCTTCGGCCCATCCTTGCCCGCTTTCGCTGGCCGCGCCCCGCCCGCAAAGTGGCGGCATGGCCTTCCAAGGCCCTTTCGTCCTTCTTGTGCGTCCTTACTTTACAGGTTGACTGTAGGCACAAGAAGTCAGAAGTTGGCCTGCCAACGGGTGCCCCAGGATAGTGTCCTGTCTCACGATGGGTCCGCAGAGCCCTGGGACACCTTACGAAGCGCAGAATTGACGAATGATGCGCAACAGAGGCTCGAAAAGATGGCCGCACCTTCTGCTCAGGCAGCCGATAACTCCACAAGGCTCTTTCACAATGGCAAAGCTATGGCCGCGCTCGTTTATCCGTGATAAACAAAAATCAACTTGGGAATCCAGGGCCATCCCGCCAAATCCAGTTTTATCAGTCGTATCCGGATTAATCGGGCTTAGTAGCTTTAGCCGGGCTGAGCATTTCCTAACCGTTCTCACGAAGACTTCCCGGTTCCGCTACTCAGCAACGGCCAAGCTATCCAGACCCCCATTGGGACATGGTAGTTCAGCCCCACCACTTCCTAGGTGGGGATCGGCCCCGCGAAACCCGAAGGAGCGGGCACATATCCCCTTCTGGGTGGGTGAGTCGACCAGAGGGGCCAAGGCCACGCCAGTGGAGATAGGAATTTGTTAAAGGACGCTCAACTACGCGCGTTCTCGCGCGCGCACGCCCTGGGGCCCCGGCGACGGCGAGGCGGAGGTGCGGGCGCTGTCCGGCAGCAAGTACGGGCCGCCACAGGACCCGCGGGCCGCGGCGCAATGCGGCTATAATGGATTGGAAGTTGCCACGGGTGCTCACTGCACACGGTTGTTTTTTTGTCCGCACGCGTTTTTTTGCAATCGAGTGTCGCGAGAAGTGGGAGGTATGAAGGATTTGTGAAGGGCGCGGGCGCGTTCATTTTTGCCTCTCGAACTGGATCGTGTTGCCGCTCCCGAGGTGGAAAACGAGGAGGAAGGGGGCGGAGCAGGAGGGGGATCTCGACGTCTCTCGCCGGAGTGCTTTCTTCGATTTCGGCATCACCGCGGCTTGGCGCCTGGAAGGGCTGGTGTCAGCCACATTCAGAGGGGGTCGGGGGAGGTAGGAGGGCTTCCCAGAAGCACCCCTGCTTCTAAGAAGCAGCCTCCTAAGAAGCCGTCCGCCCCCTCTCCTCCTTCTCCTCCTCCTCCTCCTCCTTCCTCCTCCTCCTCCCTCCCTCCTCCTCCTCCTCCCTCCTCCCTCCTCCTCTCCCCCTCCCTCCTCCTCCTCCTCCCCCTCCCCCTCCTACTCCTCCTCCTTCTCCTCCTCCTCCTCCTCCTCCTTCTCCTCCCCCACATCGGCCTGCTCCTCCTCCTCCTCCTCCTCCTCGGTCTTCTCTTCCTCCTCCTCCTCCTCCCTCATGCATCGGCCCGAGGCATCTCCGTAGATGATTTTGACTTCCTGGCGATGTCTCCGGTCGTGCCCTTCGCCTTCTCGCGTCGCTTGGGGGGCCCAGAGCGGAAGTTCGGTCGTGGTGCACAGTCCGAGCTTCTTCACCTGGTGGCGAAGAAGGGCAAATCATGAGTCGGCTAGTTTTCGATGTGGCCTCTTAGCCGTGGTGTCCTTCATGTGCACCCTTGCTGTTTACAGAATGTGGGGCCACCGACGCAAGAGAGTTTCACATCCACTTCATTCCTGGCAGGTTTTATCTTGGGATGTTGTCCTGCTTTTCTTTATTCGCATCTGTCCCAGGCGGCGGGTTGGTGCGGCACCTCGGCGCCTTTTGTGGCAATTATCCACCCACCCGTCCCTTGGGCGTACCACTGGTGGGCAGTGCAATGTGCATTTGGTATCGCTTTTGTTTCAAGTTTTGGGTACTTACTGAGCTTCTTTGTCGACGTCCGTCCCTGGGGAGGGGAGGTGCCTTTAATTGGCCTTTCTCCGGCCCTCCCCAGGGCGTATGATGCACTGTTGGTGGGATTTTGGCACGGGCTTGTGGAAACAGTAGTTCTCTTATTTCATAGTCACACGCCTTGTTCCGCATCGTGTACAAAGTATTGCAAGTGCAGGGGGCATTCCTTGACGGCAATGAGTCTGTTTTCGGTGTGAACGATCTTTCGGGGTTGCCCGATGACCAGATCGCTGTAGTGGGCCGTATCGAGTTCTGGCGTTATCTCAATTTCTTATGTATCAAAGGGGCCTTTGGCGTTCTTTCCGTACCAAGGAGGGCCAGCTTATTTGTATCAAGGGGGCTTTTGGCGTTCTTTCAACTTCTTATGTATTTGTCTGTCTGGGGTGAAGGGGTGAACAGGCTGTCATGTTTTGGAGGTACCCATCCGCGGTATCACTTGGTGTTCTACGGGCTTCTCTTTCAGCCAGCTGCACGGAATGAAGCGCGTCTCCTACCTGTTCGCCGTGCTTTCCGACAAGTTCAGGGGGGGGCGTGTGTTATCGAATCGTCGTTTCGCGATTGTTCTCTCTTACTCACTCCTCCTCCTCCTTCTCTTCCTTTTTCTCCTCCTCCTCCTCCTCCTCCTCCTCCTCCTCCTCCTCTTCCTCCTCCCCATCCCCCTCCTCCTCCTCCGCCTCCTCCTCCTCCTCCTCTTCCTCCTCCCTTCCTCCTTCTCCTCCTCGTCCTGAGCCAGCCTTGTTCTGCACGTGGTCTGCCCGGCGTGAAGGCCTGCTTCAAACCCCGCGAGAAAGACCCGAGAGGATCCTTTCTGAGAGGATGCGCGAGGTTTCCGCCCTGGGGGAGAGGCGTTGCAGGCTGGCCGTGTTGGGACATCGAGTGGTCACCCGCCTCTCCGTTCGCAAGTGCTCTTTTCGTCATCGGGTTTTGTGGTCTAAGATGGCTAGTTCTCAAAATTCTCAGAATTCTGTGGTCTACAATGGCTAGTTTTGTTGTCTGAAATGGCTAGTTCTCAAAATTCTGGCCTCCCCTTGCACGCCCAGAGCTCTGATCGACCAGCGGGCACGCCACCTTCTTGACCGTCCGCGTCTCGATGTCCCCGGCGGGGACCGCCCGCCTAACGACCTAGGCCCACCGCTCGGGGAGGGGGGGGGGGTCGACAAAGAGTGCGCTTGATAACCCCATGTGCTGAGCTGCGTCGCCCATCCCATCACCTTGATTCGCCCGGAAGGGCGTTGACATACCAAGCTTGCGGGTGGCATTGCACTGAGGCACCGAGTGACCTCAGGCAGATTGTGCCCTTCCCAAGAGGACAGATTATGTAATTTTGTCTCATCTGTCCTGTGGTCTCCCACCAAAATCTGGTGGTGCATTTCCTGAGGTATGATTATTTGTCTCAGCGTGCCCCGCCAAGCCTCAGATACACGCGCCAGAGGATAGAATCCACGATGCCAGAATCTCATTGAACTCCTCCTCCTCCTCCTTTTTCTTCTCATTTTCCTCCCTCTCCTCCTCCTCTCCCTCCACGTCCTCCTCCCCCTCCTCGGCTATCTCTTCCTCCTCCTCCTCCTCCTCCTCCTCCCTCTACCCCCCTTGCGCGCGCCAGTAAGTTGGTGAGCGCCGCCCCCACGTTTGGATGGCCGGTGTTGGCCAACAGGCCCACGCGATTGGATTTTGTCGAGGCCAGCGGGGCCATGGCAACCCGCGGGGTGCATTGTTCTTGACGGGTGACGAAAGTGCCTCCAGCGCGCCGCGCAGTAACGTCTTCAAGAGGCGTACGCATGGGCTCATGTCCAGGGGTCTTGGGACAGGTTTTGCGACCCATCATGGGCCCGTTGCGTTTTGAGTTTTTCCAGAATGTTGAGTCGTAGTTTTTTTTCCTCTTCTCCCTCCCCTCCTCCTTCTCCTCTGCCCCCGCCTGTTCTTTCCCTCCCTCTGAAGGGTTGCGCCACTCATTTTATCATTTCGTATTCGCCACTGCGCCGTTTGAGCCCCGGGGCTTAACTGACTGACCAGCATGCTCCCAGGAGTGCCAGGCGGATTGTGTCTAAGGGGGTCCCATGCTTTCGGGCGTGCGGACCGGGGCGTCAGAACCTGGCGCCTTGATGCTTCGGGGAGAGGCGGGAGGAGGGAGATGACGGGGCAGGTGGAGCGCATGGGAGTAGGAGCAGAAGAACAGGCATCAGGACAACTGAAAGAGCAAGAGCAAGAATTGAGAGGAATTGGCGGAGGATAGGAAGGGCGCAGGAGGAAGATACAGGACGGGGAGGAGAAGGAGGATGAGGAGGAGGAGGGCATGAGTAAACCCAGGATGCGCCAACGACGCTGCAATACACCCTTCTGTCACAAGTCCCCTCCTCATCCACCCTTCATGCATCTAGCTAAAGAGTGCGCCAATGATACTGCAAAACACATTCCTCGTATATGATCCACCATCCATCCTTCTGGCTAGACGAGCGCCAAGAGGTTGGATGTTATAGGTCAAGGAGGTGACCAGCCACAACCCACTTGTGAAATATCTACATGTCATCCACCCATGTCATGGTTGCACGATTTCACAACGCTGGTCAGACACGTCGCGGACATCTCAAGCGAGACAGCCAATGTAAGACATGTGGCCGTTTTCCTCCCTTGTAGCCGTTCACAATTTGGAACCTCGGGTCAAACAGTTGCAGGACGTTTTGAGCGACAGCCGCTTTTTGGGCACGAGCCAGCCTCAATCCTTTTATCTGCTGGACACGCAAAAGCGAATGCGCGCGGCTCTTAGGCACGACTCGTAGTTTGAAAACGACCGGCCCTCATTTACCGCCGAAACATGTCAAAACGAATGTGCGCGACGTTATGGCGAGAGCCGCATTTTGGTAGCGTTTGTTTGTCCATGGTTGGAAGTGCGCCGTCGTACTACGAGAACGAGCCCCCCCTCTCAATCTTTGCAGCTGTTGGAGTATCCTGAGCTTCTGGACAGTGATTGGTGGGGAAGTCGAAAGCGACCCACCAGTCCCGGCCTTCGGACACAACAGGTCACGTGGCAAGGGGGAGGTATGCTTCAAGCTAGAGGGATGGATTTGGGAGGAGGGGGGATGAGGTGGGGGAGAAAAAACGAGGGACGAGAGGCGCGAGGAGGAGAAGGAGGAGGGGAGAAGGAGGAGGAGGAGGAGGAGGAAAGGAGGACGAGGGGAGGAGGAAGAGGACGAGAAGGATCGAGGAGGAGAAGGAGGAGGAGGAAGATGGCGGAGGGTCTGGGGTGAGGGGGGAGGCACTCCCTCCGTGATACCGAAGGGCGGGATGAGAAGGGGATCAGGGGGCGCATGATGACGAGGGTTGGTGGAGGGGGAGCAGGCGAAGGTAGAAGGCCTCCCGCGCGCCTCCGCAGCAGGAGCTGGGGGACCGCAAGCCGAACCAGGCCTCCAGGCGCGGGTCGCTCCGCGCGCGGCCTCTGGGGGGCAACTCCAGGTCAACCCCCCCTCCTCCAACGATCGCTCCTCGCCTCTAATCGTCATCCTCAGGAGGAGCAGAACAGAACAGCGGCCCGTCGGGAGGCGGCGCGGGCCTTCCTCCCCGGCAGTGCGCCCGGCCAGAAAATGGACCAGCGCGGAGTTAAATCAATTGAGGGTGACACTCGGCAAAGGCGCCCGCCAAGGAGCCGAGTGGACATACAGGCGGGCAAGACAGCACAAGCTAGCTCAGGAGTGCCACGGGGTTCGGCCCGACCCTCCCAAGGAGGCAAGGGCAAGAACCACGGGCATACCAAGGAGGAGGACGGAGCGGCATACCGAACGAGGAGGAGGAGACCCTCCTCAGAGAGCAGGAGGTCAGGCTCCCCCTCAGTGACGATGAGAAGGCGCATCCTCATCGTCATCCTCGGGACACCCAAGGAGGCAGCGAATCTGGTCACCCTTGGGCCCCTACAGAGCGGGCCATCGATTCCGCGGACGGCGGCTGTGTGCCAGCTCGGACGTCGAGTCCCGCTGCCGCCCGCAGGTCCGCCAACGTGGGGCGGATGCAGAAGATCCAGGGGCCGTTCCGCTCCAGGGAGCCGCTCGCCCCGAGCGCCGCGCGCGGCTGGGGTGGGCGCTTGCGCGGGAGGGGTCGGACGGGCTCGATGTGCATATCGCGCTGTTTGGTCGGCCGAGAAGCCCATGCGTCCGGCGAAGGATTTTGTTGAGGGTACAGACGCTGCAGCGTCCCATAGGCTGGGAAGCTCGGGCGTCCATAGACAGAGCTCCCAGGCTTGCCAGACGGCTTGGTGTGTACCTCGAGCCCCTCCCAGCCGGGCCGCCGCGCCGGGTCCGCCCCCTCACTGGCGGCGCGACCCTGGGGAGCGTGGCGGGTGCGATGGCCTTCTGAGAAGGCGGGTGGAGAATCCTCCAGGGCTTCCCTTGGACGTCCAAGGGCTTGACAGAAGCATCGCCCATAGTCTTCACCGTGAACGGCTTCTGGGGTCAGCTTTCGGGCCACAGGATAGTACACAAGTAGTAGGGATGAATTAGCAGCCCTGCGGAAAGGGTATGGGGTTCTGGGGGATCCCGTATTGAAAAACACGAGACGTCGGGCGTCTGTGCTTAGAAGCCCTCCTGTCTTTGAGAAGCATTTTTAGCAGGTTCCGATCCCTTGAAGGAGCCCAAGTCTACGTGCCGACAATTTCGAGCACCAAGAAACATCATAGCTGGAGGTCCGCGTGGATCTATCGGGTCTGAGCTGGACCCCCGTTCCCAAACCCTTTGGTGGCTCCTCCGGTGCGTTCCGCGCGTCTGGGAAGCGGTGTCGGGAAGTGATACCAGCGTCGGTTCAAAAGACCCGCGCGGACTGCCAAGTTCTGGTTAGGTAGTCTTGTCTTGCATTTAAACAGATACTTAATATCCTTCTCGTCTTCTTGCTGTCGATTGGATTTTCCCCTTGAGAGTTGTTCGGATATGTTTGGGTTTTCGCTCGAGTTCACGGCTGGACGCAGCTCCAACAATTAGTCTATTCATGTTTCTTTCACCAGGTAGTGTGATGGAATAGCTCGAGGACGCCTACGGCGAATCACCGCCGTACCCTGCCTTTCATGATACGCCTACGAGGCTAAACGTTTGCGCAAAGATTGGTGGGGGCCTCCTTAGGCCCCTTGGTGGCCGTCCTACGGCGTTCCTGGCCTGTCTGACGCCGTCGGAACCCGTCTTGGGAGCCTCTCTGGGCCATCTTGGGGCGCTTCAGGGTCGTCATGAAGGCCATTTTGGGCGTCTTGGAGGCCTCTTGGACCGAATTGGGGCCCTTTGGGGGCTGTCTTGGGAGCCTCGTGGGCCGTCCTGGGACCATCTTGGAGGTCTCTTGAGCGGTATGGGGGCAAATGTCATTCAAGGCCGTCGGAAGGCCGTTTTGAAGCAAATGTCAAAATCATGTGGCCTTTTCGGGCCTTCCTGGAGGGCCTCTTGGAGGCGCCTTGGGGCCTGCAGGGGGCCTCTTGGAACCTCTTGGGAAGCATTGGGCCGTCTTGGAGTCATTGGGCCGACTTTGTGCCAACTTAGCCGTCTAGGAGACGTCTTGGCACCATCTTGAGCCATCTTCGCCATCTTGGAGGCCATCTCGAGCCCATCTGAAAATTCTTAGGGGGATAGTTTATGGTGTTTGTGGGTCGTTCCGGGTGGCCGGTGGGCGGGGCCGAAGCCCCAGGAAGTTCTGTAGAACAGAACCGAAACCACCAGACATTTGGCGCCGCGTGCATTCTTGTGGCAAGCCACAGAGGGCGGCGGATCGAATGGCCTTCGGTCCATCCCGCCACCGTGCCTTCATTGTGTGTCATAGGCCTCTAAGGTGTTCCTTGGGATTTCGCGGGAGGCGTCTCGAGAGCATTTTCGGTGCCGTTTTGAGGCCTCCTGCGGGCCGTTTTGAGGCCTCCTGGGGGCTGTTTGGGGGGCCTTTTGGGAGTCGTTGGGGCCTCTAGGGGGCCTCTTGGGGCATCCGTGGGGCCTCCTGGGAGCTGCTTTGGGCGGAAGACTCTGATTTTCGGTTCGTGTTCCCCTCCTTGGGCCCTTCCTGAGGCTGTCTTTGGGCCCTCTTCGGCCCTCTGCGCCTCGGGGGCCATCTTGGAGCCCTCTTGAGCCGCCTTGTGGCTCTTTTGGAGGCATCCTGGGCGGTCTTGGCACGTCTTGCAGCATCTTGGGCCGTCTTGGAGCGTCAGAAGCTCAAAAAGTCGAGGACCCCCAAAACATTGAACAATCTGAGGGAACTCCATCATTTTGGCTCTTTGGGGTGTTGAGCCGATCGCGCGGCGGTTCGGGGACCTCGCGTGGACCGTCTGGGCGGCCTCGTGGAGCCCTCGTGGTCTGTCTTGGTGCCCTCGTGTCTCCGAAGATGTCACGCGCGGTACGATGCGGGGAGCCGCGGGGGGCACGGCGGGAGCCCTCGGTGATTTGAGAGCCAGGGATCCCGGCCCCCGCGAAGAAACCTCGGACCTGGACTGCGGCTCGAGGGCTGAACCGGCGGACCCACATGCATAAGCACACGAGCACATACATGCAGACACACAGACAGACCGACAGGCCGACAGGCATGCAGGCAGGCACACATACAAACAACCATACATCATGCATGCGTACATACATGTTTGCACACACGCACACACGTACATACATATATTCGGCCCAGAACAGTAGGTCGACCTTGCCAGCTGAAGGATATCTCTGTGTCCTGTGCCTCGCGACACGTGCTTCCGTTCACTCCTATGGTGACGTGGCCCTCAAAAGGGTCTTGTGTCCTCTCGCGTGTCCTGTCCAATCAAGGCCGACTGTACATACATGCATGCATGCATACATACATACATGCATACACACGTGCATACATACATGCAGGCATACATGCATCCAGGCATACATACATATATACAGAACTATATACATACATACATGCATACATATATACGGACACACATACATACAGCCATGCAGACACACATATGTACACACGCATACGTATATGCCTATACACAACTATACAAGCACGCATACACACATCTACATGCACGCATACCCACATGCATACATACATGCATGCATGCATGCATACATACACGTTCAGATATACCCATATATACATACATACATACATACATACATGCATGCATGCATGCATGCATACATACATACATACACACAAACATACCCATACATACGTACATACATACATACATACATGCACGCATGCATCCATTCATCTGTGTAAGCCTACATACATACATACATACATACATACATACATACATACATACATACATACATACATACATACATACATACATACATACATACACACATACATACATACACATACATACACACATACATACATACATACATACATACATACATACATACACGCATACATACATACATGTATACACACATGCATACCTACATATATGTGTACACATATAGACCTACGTACCTGCCTACCGACCTACATACCTGCCTGCCTGCCTGCCTGCACGCATGCATGCATGCATGCATGCACACACACCTACATCCATATGTACAAACGCACGCTTATGGAAGTGCTGCACGAGAACGGTAATCGTTTCGACCATCGCCGTTTATTCTCAAGTATTTTTTCCACCTAAGGGTGGATGGTCGACCTTGCTGACGCTGTGGTTGGCCGAGCATTCGCCTGGGGCGCAGGCGTCGCGGGCCAAGCGATCGGCACCTGGCTGGGTGCGCGCAGCGGTGGCGCGGAGAGCACCTGCATTTCTGGCTTGATTGCGCTGCTGCAGAGGCATCTGGATCTGTGCGGCCCCGGGCCCCGAGAACCTCTCGAGGCCTGCACCAGCGCCGCCTGCTGCGGCGGAGTGCGAGGGCCAGGGCTTCGGCACGCTCACGCTCTTGCTGGTGTGCCTAGGCTCGTTCGTGCTGGGCCTGTGCGTTCGTGACGCAAGGTAGCAGCTGCCAACGTCTCGCGTGGACACAGCCGCCATTGCAGATGGCGCTCGTCGTGGAGCACAAGAGGACCACATTCGGACGTCTGCGGAAGTACGGGCGGGCCCTCGCTTATTACGATCGGGACGATGATTACTGGCACGAACGGCTCTTGCTTGAGCAGCTGGGGCCACAGAGGGTTACCATTGTGACACCGCACTTCGATGTGTACGGCGAGGAGCTGGCCGACGCCATTGGCGTTCGTGAAGTTGGGCCTCGTGGCGGTGTCGGCGCTGTGTACGGCAATGTGCTGCGGATTGACATGGCCGAGTTTGGACGCCGTCAGGAGGAGCTCGAGGCCGCCGCCTTGACCTGCGCAGCGGAGATTCGGCGCGAGAAGGAGCTGGCCCTGGTGGCTGCACACGGCGACGCCGCGGAGGCTGGCGACGCTGCCGCTGCTGGGGAGCCTGGAGGCGAAGCCCGTGCTCAAGCGGCTTCGGCAGCGGGTTACTTGGTTCCGCGCGGGACTTGGTTGGCCGTCGAGGCGCGGGCGGGCGGTCTACCAGACTGACGACGAGCTGGTGGACGTGAGGCCGGCCTTCGCGCTGGGGGATCGGGCCATTTTGGAGTTGGCCGACGGAAACGTGCCGGCCGTCGGCGCATCTGGCTCTGTCAACATGCCGACGCCACGTGGTCTCCCGCAGGACGTGCGCGCGCCGGCGGTGAAGACCGACATGCTGGGCGAGAACAACCGCGCCATCTGGGAGGTTGTGCTGGGGATGAAGACAGAGCCCTTCCCTGGCTGGCCCATCAGCGGGCCGCGTACCTGTCAATGGTTGTTGTTGCAGCTGGTGAGGCTCGGGCACACAGGCATGCAGCGCCATTTGCGCTGGCGGCAGGTTCTCTCGCTGACGCCTGGCGATCCTGGGGTGGACGAGCGCGCTTCTTTGAGTGAGTTGGTCGATGTCGGGTGTCATGTGGACCAGGTGTGCTTGCCGAGCCTTGCGTGCTACGAGATGGTCTGTAGGCGGTATCAGCTGTGGGGGAAGTCTACAGCAACGCGCTACAGGAGGCCGAGGGCGGCGCAGGCGCAGGCGGCGCCGGGTGGCTGGACGAGCGTGAGATCTTCCATGGGCAGTCGTCAGGCGT